TCTTTCCACTTTATTCTCACAACCATCTATCTTGCAGAACAATACAAAGTCCCTTAATGACAATGAGAATCATCCCACTAGATTTTGCATAACATTCACGCTCAAAAGAAATCAGTATTTTGCTATTCATTTTTTTTCACTAGCTGACAAGAAAGAATGCCACTCAGAATCTGGCATAAAACCTACATTTTGTACCAATGCAACAGTAAAGCTATGAAGGTCAAAAACAAGTAGTCATATTATAGACATATATAGCACTATTTACCTACCAAATAAAACCAAGTCTTTGTTGAAATTATTTACTTACACATTAAGATTTCTTCTTCTCTTACGTACCTTTTTTAACCGATCTTGGTTCTTGGGGAACAACATTCTTCTCTCTGTTGGATTCACACTCCGAGTATTTAAAATGTGACTGTTGTTCTCTGACAGAAGATTGACAAATACATGAAATATTTTGGAGATTGGGATGATTTACAATTGCCTTCAGTAAAATAGTCTGGTTCTTTCTTCTTCGTTGCAGGGAGCTTTTGCAAGACTTGTTAAAAGTGCATAGTGGAAAAGTGGTATTACTTAATGAGCAGGTATCCCTGCATGATATTATTACAGTGTTATCTGCAAAACAGAGTACTGTATTAGCAAGACAAACATTTAGGGCACATGAACAAATATGTGCATGTTAAGTGTCATGTAAGATACTTTTTAACCATCATACAATAAAACAAAAGTTTCTTTCTTGAGGATTTTGGCAGCATACTGAATATATAATCAAGCGAGTGAAAGCAAGCACAGAATATTCCCATAACCTACATCCTTCTAATAATAACTTGCATTTGTGGTGGTATCTAGTCATATTCCTGTTTCAAAGCTGTTCAGATTTGATTGTGTTTGAAAAGAAGATGAAGTCTCTCGTATTCGCAGAGGGAATTTAGCCCTGGAATCATACAGCTACAATATGCCAGTAAGATTACGCTGTAAAATAGCTTTAATGAGAATGAAAACTTTCTCTCCAGTGACAGTGGGACTGTACAAGGAAACTATACAGAAATGCACCCAAATTCTGACCACAGATTTGAGACCTCTTATATTCATAAGAATGAATCGGCAAACAAAGAATCTTCATGATGGCCAACTGTTTTTTTTTTGCCATTCTTAGTCAAATTTCAATATCATATTCCAAGGCTGTAGTATATTTATGCAATTCTGGCAAATAAAATAAAACTGAGTATTAATTATTAGTGAAAACTGAGTATTAATTATTAGTGAGGGGTTTTTAGCTGCCTTTCACATTAGGTAGGTCTTTATGAGTCAGGTATATTTTCTCTTGAGCTAACTTTGAACTATTTTTTCAATACGAAAACAATATAAAAGTAAAAAAACTACTGGGACACAACATGAAATAAATGTCCTTATGAACACAACTAATCACTCTCTGTCTGGAGATTATCCAATACAAACCCATAGTTCTGTAGTTCAGCTTCCAATTCTAGTGGTACCCTTTCAGCTCTGAGAAGACTAGTTTATGCATTTAATGCCCACAATGATTAATTGGAGTTTTATGGCCATAAATCGTTACGTATACAGAGGAAAACACAGCCTTTAATTGCTCCAGCACTCAACTGCAATCTGACAGTTTCAATAGGCCATCTGCACCCGCATCTGGGGGACTAACCTCAGAATCAACTCGACGAAAGATCACAGGCAGGATTCCGAAATAAAATCCAAAAATCAAATGCCAAAAAGTCAACTACCTGCACTTTATTAACTCTACATCAGAGTCATAAACTCCTCATAAAACATAATAAATTGAAATGTAAAATATACATCATATGCATATAAGATAATTTGTTTTAATTCAAAAAAGAAAAATGTCAAGCAAAATTTAGGGCTTGGTCTTTTCCTTATTTGCTCCTGATCTGAACCCCACAACTTGGCGAGAAGCAAGCTCTTAAAATCAAATTCTTCCAGGCTGAAGAGTTTTGTGCGAAGAGTCCTGGTAGAAATGAGCCAGGAGTAAAAATTGAATTCTTATTCTAATCTCATGCAAGGCATGTGTGCATCTGGGCAGCTAGCCTAAAACCACTGCTGCAGCTTTCAGGATCTGCAACTAATGGCCATCTCTACAGACTTGCTTCACACAGAAATCTGCACATGGACGTGTGGATCTGCTGGCTGTGCTGTGCCTGTAGCATATGTCCGTGCATAGCACCATGAACGACATCCTGCATCATGTTGTCCATGTGGCTCTAGCTAGCTCTAGTGCCACCTTTTAGGCATGTTATAGATGTATATAAAGCATATTATCTGATTAGAAACATTGTATACCGTCCTACTAGGGAGGGTGTTTACCATCCTCTTAGGGACTTTTACTGGGACACCATCCAAATTACAATTTAGTATCAGAAAGAACAAAAAAAGAGATGATTTTGTAGAGGAGGATACACCTGGCTGAACACAGTAAATACGACTGGAAAAGGACTGGGTTTCTCAGCGGATTGCATGGAGTCAGGCAGAATCAGACCCACAAAAGGTTTGCTGCTTAGTGCAGGCCTGGGGAATATTCCCTCTCAAATGTAAACATTGCTTGCTGGAAACATATAAAGCTCCTGGGAAATCCGACTGCAGACAAACTGTAGTTATAAGGATCAGTGAGACCAAATCAAGCCAAGAGTATCTAAGAAACTTTGCTTTATTTTCAAACATCTGTAACTCAAGTGCTTAATGTTAAGAAGTTCTGAGATTCTGAAATTCTTTTGCTAAGCCTCTGTTTATAAGATTTTTTTTTCCTATAGAAAAAACAATTCTATTGAAATGAAATTACTCACAGGGAACATCTGAATTTGTAAAAAAAAAAAATGCTTCCTATTAAGAAAATCATAAATATTTAATTTTGGATTGTCCTGATCTTTCTTTCTTTGCGATACTCTGTTTTGAATCAATTCAGCAATGTATTAAGTTTCATTTTTACCACTGCCTTATGCAAATGATAGCAGTAAAGTTGCATAATATTGCAGAGCTACAGCTTGGTACAACTTGGAGAATACACAACTACCGGGTTATGTAAAAGCAAGCTGGACCAGGAGGACAGCAGAGGGATTGGGAGCATGAGATTAAACCTACAACTTGCTGCTATAAAGCAGCGTAGTTTGAAGCTGCAGTGACTCATAACTAAGTGGGTGGGTTGCTTTACAAATGGAAAAGAAAATATTTCACTTTTGGTAATACTGAACGGTATTAGAGATTTTTAAAGGCTTGGTTTATTGAAAAATTGATTTACTGCAGAATTTCTGTTCAATGAGAAGTAAAATCTCCAAATTTTACTTTCTTCTCTCTGCACTCTTTGCTTATCTGGCACTTGAGGGGTTGTACTGAAAACCTGAAACACCCACGAGCCTTAATGTGACCTTAGAAAAGCATATGGAGGTAGGAGGTCTCAAACACTCATCTAGGGTTCAGAGGAAGAAACACAGAGGCTGTTTTACAGCTCGGAGATTTCCAACACTAAATTTGTGTGTGTACAGTATTTTCCACAGCCTCACGTGCCAGCAATTCGGAGCATCTGCAGCAAGGGAAATCTGTACTGGAACATCTGCAGCAAAGCAGTTCTGTACATATGAAGGTTGATACAAAATCTGCAATAAAACCAGTTTCCAATATGATTTTCAAGGAAGCACAGCAACCCAGATTCCTTGAAATTTTTGATGTTTTTCATGATAGTTACTCTCTTTTATGCTCATTTAGACATTGGTATATATAATTATAACATCCTAAACAGGATAATGATTCTAAATTTCCTAACATAATTCTCTGCTGCAATATATTTCACTTTACATGCACAAATAATTGGACTTTCTTCTTCATGACATGCTGTGGTGATTAAGTTTATCCATAGATATCTGAATTGCAATGAACTTACTATTACAGCATGAAGCACCTCCAAGAAAAGCAACCAAACAGAGAAAATCGCAATTACTCTTTGATGACTGACAATAATGTCAGTATGTTTTCTGGCAATATTCATGCAGTGTTTATTTGTGTAGTCTGTGCTAGCAAAGAATCTGACTATTGCTTTAGCCACTTCCCCATGACAGGAAAGCATCAATTATTCCAACGTCTTAAATTGACTTTTTTTCTGTAATATTTGAAGATTACAGCACCTTATCAGGTTTGCTCTTTTATAATCTGTAATAATCAATATATTAGATTCAGGTTTGTATCGTGATTTTTGTTTGTTGAATGAAAATAAAAGTTTTAATATAAATAACTTAATTTGATATATTTTAATACTATATTTCTGCAGAAAATTATGCTCTGTAAATAATTTAGTGATGTCTGGAAACACATACTGTTTGTCAAAGGGAAGCTTTTTGTTATAACATTGATTTATTCCAAAGCCCTACTTAGGAATGCCTGTGACGACTATTTAAATATTAATTTATATATGGATTTTTAACAAAGCATTGAATGTGTAATAAAAATATATATATTTTACATTCATCCTAAATCCAGTACAGACCATTAGGATCACCAAGACATATTTGGAATTTTTGTCACGAGATTTGTTTCACTCAGTTATACCTATTTTGTTCCATTTTGTTTGACCAGGGTGTTACCTCACGTCTCTTTCTCAGACATGATCTCATACCAGACAGCAACTGTATAAATGTTTGCGGGCATTTCGGTATAGGGACTCCAAAAAAGTTAGCTTTTAAGACACAAATACCCGCTACAGAAAAACATAAATATTTTAATTATTCTGTTTGCAATGAAGATTGTAAAAGTACGGTTACAAAAGAAGTTACAAAACAACATAGTGTACATAAATGGATGACAAACCTCTTCCAAATTAAAAAAAAAAAAAAAAAAGAAGAAGAGGGCCATTTTAAAAGCTGATCACTCACCTTCCTGGACTTTGAAAAATTCAGGTAAACATAAAATAAACATGGTAATGATTCCTATTGCTAATCTGAAGAGCTCTGATTTCCTCAAAACCAAGCACATGTCCCTGCGGCCGTCCCATGTGGCGCGGTGGTGGTGAGCTCCTTCCTGGTTTAGCTCCTAACTTTGTGGGGGTTTTATGCAAAGCAACTCCTCATCATTTCCTCTCTCTAATATGGCCTTTCTTTCCACTTCTTGTTGCCTTAACTAATAGAGAACCAAAGCCTCTTCTTACATTGGCCTGGATGAGGATGACTCAAATGAATGCAATGAAGACAGAACCAACGTACCATGATGAAAATTAGAGCAGAACCTTGCTTAGAAGCTGTTTTATTCTTTCGGGGTACTTTTCTTTTAGGAACATCACCCTCTAATGGCCACTTTTATGTACCTTCTGAACAGCAATCATCTCTATGAAGGAATCTTGTTCTCATTTGGCCAAGAGGATTTTTTTTAAATGAGTCAGACCCTCGTTACAGAAATGAGTCAGACCCAGAGGGGTCGAATATGGAGGTTTTATGTTTTATTTACAGAAATATGCATTGGGGATAGGGGAAAGATAATTGTATGTAATACAGTATCTTCAAGACTTTAATAGCCTGTTAACATGATTGTTACGACTTAAGCTCCTGATTTTGCAAATAAGTGATGTTTTACATACAATGACCAATGTGTGACATGAGCATAGTATCATCACTGCTATATTCTTAAAGGATAACATGTGTTGCCAACCTGTACTGTGTCTTCCATTTTCCTGCCCTTTGCACTAACGAGAAGACTCCGAAGAGCCCTTACTATTTCTATACATTGTGGTGATCATTTTACCACTAAATTATCCATTCCAGACGGAAAAAATAAGTCTTCTGTGCTGACAACCACAATGATATTCCATAATTTCTTTTTGTAGATGAAACTGCAAACAACATTTCTGAAATGTTCTGTATGAAAGAACCCTGAACAATGCATATGTAAAAACAAACAATATGACTCACATATCGAGTACATACAGTATGAAGCATTTAATTAAGTTAGAAAGCTCTCCTGATGTAGAACTTTTTCCCACAACTAATTAAATATTGAATACTACCAGAGCGAAGCAATGCCACTGAAGTTAGAATAAATGTCCTACAAAACCCAAATACCCTTTATATCATCTAGTTATCTCAGAAGGCAAGCAAGCCAGGTAGGGGCAAATATAATACTCTTAATAGAGCTTTAGTGAATATAAATTTGCTAATATTTTAATCACATAGCAATTTCGTGAAATGCAAGCAATGAAACCAAAGCACAATCAACTATTTTTTTTGAAGTCTGGTGCCATAGAAGTAATAAGGACACAAAAAGTCATACCTATGAATCTAGAAAGAAACACACACCCACTGCACCATTTATATTTGTCACCTGTTAGCAAATTAGCTCTGCTTTGTGAAAGACTATATTGATCCTTAAGTATATTCCATACTTATATTTTCCTGCATTGAAGTTTGTGTTATCAGGGTGGTATCAGACAGAATGGAAAAAAATCTCCTAAAAACAGTAGGACAGCTCAGACAAGTAGTATATATATATTTGTATCGCTTTCTAATGTATACAGATTTTTATCACTGTTAGTACTGCTGAAAGCCAGAGCAGACTGTTGAATGCATCAAGTTTCAGATACTATAAGGAAAGTTTTCCAAAAAAAACAGGACGTGTGGAATATCTATGCATCCATGAGAGGATAGAGAATATCTATTTAGCGGCCCTTGTTATGGCACCTTAGGTCCACCTGTGATCTTCCCCATTCCCACAACAAGCATGTCATGAGGCTTAGACATTCATTTAGAGCTCAAAACACCCAGATTAACTAAACATAAGGAGCAAAGAAATTCCTGATGTGTAGCTTGCTCATACAGCTGTGATGGAGACACTGTTCTCTTCACATTCATTTCCTGCAACAGCGCAAAACCAGCAGCTCCTCATGCCCCTTTTTTTTTACAAAGCTTGAAAGAATTAGTGTCCTTGAAGTCACTACCCTTCTATCAAATTTTGCTACTGTCATGCAAGTCATTGAAAATGGACCAGGAGGAGGTCTGGAAACCACAGCAAACCATGCAATTGCAATGGCCTCTGTACAGATTTGGTCAGAGAAAGCTCCGAATGTGGCTGCTGCGTCACAGTGCGGTGATGGCCCCACGCACCCTTCAGGCAGTGCCACCAGTGGCCATTGCACACCTCGCTGTCGCACAGCCTCCAAGTTTGGGAAATTAGCCTGCTTTCAGGTGGCAGAGGTCACCACGTGACAGGAGGAAGAAAGCTGGCAGAGGCCACGGTGCTTTTGGAAGGCAAGCGTGGGTGTTTCTGAAGGCAACATGGGGTGTTTTGAAGGCAAAAGAGGGTCATAGCAGCAAAGGTGCCAGTGTCCTGACCGGAGATGCATTTTGTGCTTCTCCTGATTTATTTCACTTAAAGGGGGAGTGGGAGAGGAAGGACAGCAGCCCAGCCTCCCCTGGTGCGTTCCTAAAACCCGGGGACTCGGAGCTTGGGGCGAGGCCGGTACAACGGCCACCAACCGCCCAGGGCGGTACCTCTTCCCCGGGCCGGTGTAACGGCCACCAACC